AATTAATATTTTTTAACTTGGTCGGATGTCCTGTAATTGGTGTTCTGTCCTGAACCTAGTGAATGACCAGCATCTGATCAACAGTTTCTTTAAACGGGAAGAAGACTTCGAAAGGAGGAATGCATCTGTTCCATTCCACTTGGAAAAGGGGAATTAGAATAGACTACTTCCGTTGCAAGGGACCTACAATGGTCATCTAGTCCAACTGCCTGACAAATTCAGGGCTGACCAAAAGTTAAAGCATGTTGTTAAGGGCATTGTCCAAATGCTTCTTAAACACTGACGGGCTTGGGACATCGACCACTTCTCTGAAAGCCTGTTCCAGTGTTTGACCATCCTCTTGGTAAAGAAATGATTCCTAATGGCCAATCTAAACCTCCCCTGGTGCAGCTTTGAACCATTCCCACATGTTCTATCACTGGATCCCAGGGAGAAGAGATCAGCACCTCCCTCTCCACTTCCCCTCCTCAGGAAGCTGTAGAGATGAGGTCGCCCCTCAGCCTCCTTCTCTCCAAACTAGACAAGCCCCAAATCCTTAACCACTCCTCGTAGGACATTCCTTCCAGCCATTTCATCAGCTTTGTTGCCCTCCTCTGGATGCGTTCAAGGACCTTCACATCCTTCTTAAATTGTGGGGCCCAGAACTGCACACAGTACTCAAGGTGAGGCTAAACCAATGCTGAATACGGTGGGATAATCACCTCTTTTGACCGGCTGTTTGTGCTGTGTTTGATGCACCCCCAGATGCAGTTTTGCAGGAGTGCACACTGCTGACTCATATTTGGCCCACTGTTGAGCAGCAGCCCCAGATCCCTTTCTGCAGGGCTGCTCTCCAGCCACTCCTCTCCCAATTTGTACCTGCGCCTGGCATTACTCCGTCCTTTTGACTTGTTAAATTTCATCCCATTAATCATAGCCCAACGCTCTAATCTATCTAGATCCCTCTGCAAGGCCTCTTGTCTCTCAAGAGAGTCAACACCACCTCCCAGTCCGGTATCACCAGAAAACGTGCTAATGGTGCATTTAACTCGTGCATCCAGATCATTGATAAATACACTGAGCAGAACTGGCCCTAGAATTGAACCATGAGGAACACCACTCGTGGCTGGTCACCAGCCAAATGTAGCCCTATTCATTACAGCCCTTTGACCACTGCCTTTCAGTCAGTTCTTCAGCCAGTGCACCATGAACCTGCTCATCCCATAACTGGGCAACTTGTCCAGAAGAATCAGTATCACAAACCTTACTAAAATCCAGAAAAACTACATCCACCACTTTCCCTTCATCCATTAGGCAGGTGACCTTGTCATAGAAGGATGTCAAATTAAACAGGACTTTCCTTTTGTGAATTGTTAGATACAGGCATACTCTATAAAAGGTATATGATTTAAGCCACCCTAAGTTAATCTTACCTTGCACAGGTAGTTATTAATCTGAGATATGTCCCTAATAGACAGAGAACATCTTGAAATAAAAAGCCTAAAGCTTAACTTTTACAGTGACTGGAAGAGTATCATTCCACATGAATTAATCAGCTTACATTTTTAACAATATTCTTTTCATAAGTAAAACACTAGTTTCATCTGTCTGAGTAGCTATAGACTGTATTATGAAATATGCAGCATTAGCACAGAATTAACCCAGGTTAATTCTTTTTCATATTTCATTAAACATGTAACATGAAAAATAATACAATTCATACCAATATCAGATTTACCTGCAGTTGTGTTGTAGGTGATATTTGCCTGGCTCCTGGTCTTTCACTGGTACTACAGCTGCATATCATTTATTTTTGTTCCAGGGTAGGACTTTTGTTCTATGTATCAGATATTACAGACCTTTTATAAGACTGACAGAGTTAGGAGATGTGCATCAAGTACCTTTCCTTTGCGTCAAAACCCATGAGCTATTTAGGCACACTATTCTGGTGTACACTCAGGAAACCTGATGGAGTGCAGAAGGAGCATAGCTAAACCTACATCTACAGCTGTGTCTTAAGTTAAAACTTGGCATCTGAGAAAAAGCAGAATATGTTCTTTTCATGTATATTTTCAACGAACATTTTAATCAGTGACTTGATTGATTAGAGTATTCCCAGAAATGTTAATTCTAAGCAAAATATTTTGGGTGTTTAATATTGTCAATATTTGTACCAGTAATATTCTCTTGGCCAATCATGGAATTAAAACTACCAGCAACTACAACACCACCACCACCACCACCACAATAACCAAACAAAAACCCTATGTGATTTATCTTCAGGTCATTGTAAGTAGAACAAGTTTAAGTTCACTTAGTCAAATGTGAATAAACAATCTGTAGACCAAGAATTATTTGCATAAAATAGTTTTATTGAATATTTTCATGAATTAATGGAAAGTTGGATAATGACCGCTGATAATGAACAAAACAGAGAAATTCTCAAATAAGGAAATTTCTCTCAAAACTGTAGACTTAAATGCAGAAAGATTGTTAGCATTCCGGTTTCCATGCCTTCTAAGATCAGTGATACATGAAAAAATCATAGGGAGACCAGAGTGTCTCTATATCACACTGGCAAAGGTAGACTTTTAGCATTTATGTTTCTGATATGCCATCAATAAATGTAAATGCTAAAGTTTCCTAAAATAGTATTTAAAAATGAAAAAGGAAGTTCCATTGCCTCAGTCTGCCTAAGCCAGAAAAAGAACTGAAAGAGATCAGTTGTATTAATGAGTTACTCATTAACTTTTACTGAATTGATGTTTGTTGCTTTAATGGTATTTTTTTTGGGCACTAACTGAGAAAGAGTCGTTTATGTAAGGGGTAATAACTGTCAGGATGAGGCTGCTATTTTTGGGTAAAGAAGAATGCCCATTTTGTGACATTTTCGTCTTTACTTAAACACCATATCAGGATGTTGTTTCCTTTTTTCTTTATTTCCTCAGATGATGATTAGGTTGAGAACTAAAAATTAGTGGGTTACCATGGTGATTTTTGCTTCATTTCCCTGACACAGGAGCCTCTGATGTTTACATCTAGTTTGTACCTTTTTTATTGCCATCTTTCTTCTTCTGCCAGACTACAGTTTGTGGCACAGCTTCTTTACCTTGGTGACTAGGTGGATGTAGGGCTCTGGACATTAACTTTCAATGTTGTAATTTTTTTTTTCTGTGAGGTGTATGGAGATTTCTTTTAGTAAATGCTTGTTTAAACTAGCATGTATAGTATTTCTATTTTGATGCATGGGAATCTTCCCTCTTGCTTGCAGATGTTTCAAAACTCTGGACCCTCTGAAGACTTCAGGTGCACCAGTTGATAGCTGTAACATGTTA